TTTCCCCTCCTTGCCCTGGGTTGGGGTTGGGGTGGGAGCAGTCCTTGAGAGGTGCCAGTGGGGTCTGCTCAGTGGGATTTGGGGTGGGTGGGCAGCAGGAGCTGATCCATGGCTGGACTGGTGCTGCAGAGCTGGAATTTGGGAGGTTTCTTGTCCAGGTGGCACTGGGCAGTCCCAGTCTGCAGAGTGCTGGGCAGCAGGGGCCAGCCCCAGGGAGATCCATTAATGCAATTAAAATTATGCAATATTTATAATGCATTAAATAGAAAACCTATATAAAATATTCTAGTACATACGCAGTATATATGCAGTTATATTGCATCTCTCTTATATGCAATATAAATGCATATATTTATATGCATTTATTAAAAAATGCAATTTAATGCAATTAAAGGATTCCTCTTTTAATCAAGTTACTGACATCCTGTTTTCCTGGGATTTTACCTGCAGAACCTTTCTGCTGGTAGCAGTGCTCAGGAGGTGATTCCCACTTGTTCTGTGTCCAGGCTGCTGCTGATCCCGAGGTTTTCCATCAGTGTCCAGCTGTGCTCCTGCTGCTGGGGCTCATCCAGCCCAGGGATGCTCAGCCTGGCCTCTGTTCCCATTTTCCCCTTTCCCTGGGTTCAATGTCCAGCCCAAGGAGCAGCTCCCAGAGGGATTTCAAAGCTGCCACCTCAGCACCTGCTTTTGGCACCGGCAGGATTTGACCCAAGCAAACCCCGCTGGAGTCTGACAAACTGTGCAGTCACCCAAGCCAGGCTTTGGAATGGTGTGTGACTTTGGGAAGGAGCATGGATGGTTTGGGTTGGAAAGAGCTGCTGGTTTGTGTGGTGAGAAGGAAGATGCAGAGTTGGTGGCTGCCGGGGCTCAGCTGGTCATTCACATTTGCTCTCCTGCCCAGCCTTGCCAGGGGAGCACAGTGTGGTGTTTTGGGAGGAGCCAGGTGGATGCACAGGGTGGGACATCCCATTCCTCACCCCCTGCTTGGCTCCAGCCCCTTCCCCAGCACGAGGAGCAAACCTCCTCCTCGTCCTCATCCTTTATTTTTAATGTTAGCCCCGTTCCTCCCATTTCGATGTGGATGTTGTAATTACAGAGCACAGAATCCCAGCTTTTAGAGCTCTGTGACCACAAGAAAGTGAATCCAGAAACCAGACTGGTTTCATTTGCTCCCATTCCAGCTGATTTCCTCCCCCCACCATGGCTGTGCAGTGCTGAAGGCTTGGCAGAGACTAAAACCAGCTGTCAAAAAGGTTTCTTACCCCCACACTTTTAAGTTAATGATGTTCTGAAATTAATGGTGCACCAGACTAATCCTGGATCTCATTTTGATGGATGTTTCCCAACTGGGCTGGGGAAGTGAATCCCCAGGTCCCAGGGAAAAAAAAGGGGTGTTTTTCCATCCTAAGTGTTTACAGCTTTAATTTGGTTGGTATATTGTGGTTTTCCAACAAGCTTTCAGTAACTTTTGGAAGCTGTGGATGAGCTTTTCCACTGCTCAGAGCCAGGGAAGTGGCAGTGTCTGGGTGTCCCCTTGCTCTGGAAGTGGCTGCGGGCACGGGAGAGGCTCCAGCCTTGGCACAGGGGGGGGAAAGCTGAACGAGCTGAGTTGGATTAGCTGAGGGAAAATCAAAAAAGCTAATTAAATTAATTAGCTGAGGGAAAGGAGACAGAGATAAGGTGTGTGAAAAAGCAGAGAGGTTGGAACCCTGGCACAGAGGGGTTGTGGAGTCATCCCTGGAAGTGTCCCTGGACAGGGCTTGGAGCACCTGGGACAGTGGGAGGTGGCCCTGCCGTGGCAGGGGTGGCACTGGGTGGGCTTTGGGCTCTTTCCAACCCAAACCATCCCAGGATTCTGCTCTCTGCCCTGTCTCCCTGGGGACAGGACAAGGAGCTGCTGGTTTGTGTGGTGGGAAGGAAGATCCAGGTCAGGCTTAAGGAAAAGCCTCCTAAATGTCCACGTGGAATAACCCCAGGCTGGATGCTTGGAGAGGGAGGGGAAATCTCAGTTTCTGGCTGAGGTGATTCTCTCACAGTCCTATCCTGGGACAGGTGCATTTCCCACATTTCCTGTACTTCCATGGCTTAACCCTTTAACACCCTGCTGGATTTGTGGCAGGTGCCTCATGCAGCTTTCCCTGTCACTGGAATTTCGGAAGGAAGCTCCTTTTGGTTGCCTGCTGTGCCCTGGGGCTGCTCCAGGGCAGATGATCCCCTGGGATATGGAGATCCATCCCTCCCTGCCAAAGGGAAGGCCTGCAGAGTTAAAATGCCACATTCCCAACCTTCCCAGGGATGGGATCCCTCACAGTGGAGCTCCCACCTTGTGGAGACCTCCTGGAAACCTCCTTTTGGGGACCAAATCCTGGTGCAGAATAGAAAATATGCCTGTACACAGTAACTTTTCCCTGTTAATGTTTCCAGTTAATGATGTTCTGAAATGAATGGTGCACCGGACTAATCCTGGATCTCATTTTGATGGATTTTGCCAGGGATGTTTCCCAGCTGGGCTGGGGAATCCCCAGGTCCCAGGGGGGAAAAAAAAAAAGAAAAAAAGGTGTTTTTCCATCCTGGAAATCTCCTTTTGGGGACTAAATCCTGGTGGAGAATGGAAAATATGCCTGTACCCAGTAACTTTTCCCTCATCCCAAGCTCCAGAGCCCAGGGAAGGAGAGGGATCCGTGGTGGAATCATCAAAGTTGCCATCTGGGATCACTTCCCATGGGGATGTTCTCTGTGGGGAGCAGCAGTGGGAGCTGTTAACAGCAGCTGCAGATTTAGGGATGAGCAGGGAATTCTCCTGCCTGTGGGAATTCAGCTGGAAGGAGCTGGTGGTGCTGGGCACAGCTGGGGTGGAGCTGGTTTTATTCTGTTTTTAGTACAAATTCAGCTGGATTTTCCTCAGAACATCCAATTTATAGATGTAAAACAAACAGAGTTTATAGATGTAAAGGTAAAATCTGCCTGGTTTATCCTATTTTTAATGGACTCTGTTTAGAATATTGTTTTGGGAATGTTTTACAGGTTTAGAGACCCCTGTCCCAAACAACCCTGCATTAAATAACCCGAGCAGCTCTGGGGCAGCTGAGTGGAGAAGGAAATGTGAATTTCTGGGGCAAGTCTGGCTCATGAGCTCCTTCTCCAGCAAACAAAACCCATCACTCCCCATGCAGGAAAAAAGGAATTCCCTGAAAAAGGTGGCATTTTGTGTTTGGGGGAGAATTTCTGCTCTCTGGAAGGTTTTGCAGAGCCGTGTGCTCAAACCCCTGACAGCAGGATGTGTTTTCCTTGGGAATGACGGGGTTCAAAGCAGGTTTTGCTCTCAGTTTTTACTTTCCAGGAATATACTGAAGGAATATTGAATCATCAGGACAAGGTGGTGAAAACAATTTAACTGAAATATTAAATGATGTTTATGATTCCCAGCTGATCCAGGCTAAGTGGGACACGGATTTTCCTCCCCTGACAAGTCAGGGCTAAAAATGTTGTCTCTTCCAGCAGAAAACAGCCATGACATCACTTTTTACTGGGATTTATGCAATCCAAGTGGAATACACTTTGAATCAGCAGAATTTCTGCATTTGACAACGTGCAGATCAAAAGTTCTGCTGGTGAAATTTACCCCCAGGCCTGCAAAATTAAATCCATGTTTTTCCTTATTATCTGTGGGGAATGTTTCAAATACCAAAATGTGAGGGGGGAAAAAAAAATAAAAAATGACACATTTTTTAATAAATACTTCTGTTAACTCGTTATAGCCACCTTGAAAAGGAAAACTGGTGATTAAATTCTAAACCCCAGCCTGAAATCTGTGGGAATTGGGTACCTGCCCTGCTTGTACCTATTAAAATCTAAGAAATCCCTGCAAGAATTCCTGCTGCTTTTATGGATTCAGAGTGGGCCATTTGGTTTGGTTTCCTTGGCGTTTGTCTCGCAGGCTTCTTCAGAGAAATAAATCCACAAGTGTTTGCCTGTCATCACATGACGGGGCCGGGAGCCTGGATTGATGTAATCAGCACCAGACACACGTCAGAAAACTTCATGTGGTTCAGCAAAATACAATATTTTATTAATTCCTCATTTGGGGGTGTGTTTTAAATGAGCCTCAGGGGGTTCTTAGCTTGTGCCAAGAAATGAGAATGGCTCCTGTGAGTTGGTGTTGAGCAGCACCAGGGGCGGGGTGGAGATCAGCAAAGTGAGGTTCCCTTCGTGACAAATAACTTCATGAAAAGCTGCTTTTATTATTCATTAAATTACAAATTGTCCTGCTTCTTTTTTCTCTTTATGCATCAGTAAATCTGCAGGAAGTTGTTGTTAAATATGGCGTGAAGTATTGAGGTTGATTAGTTCAAAAACCCATCAATGATGAGTATAAAATGCAACTTATTCAGGATATTTTCAGTCATAGCAAATCCTTCTAAAAATCTTTGAAACCTGCTGTGTTTCTTAGTGTTGGGGGTGGGTTTTTTGGGGTTTATGTAATGTGCTGCAAATACAAATAAATAAATATTAATAAATACATATAAATAAATACAAATACATTAAAAAATAAATACAAATACATATAAGTAAATACAAATTCCTGATGTGGGATTGAAGCCATACTGGGAATAAACACAATTTGAAGAACAGCATCCTGAAGCTTGCTCAGCTTTGGGATTAAAAGTCAGTTTTAATCAGAATTGGTAATTTTACAGAAAATCACCTGAAGGGAATTGCAGTGGGAAAAGCGGGATCAGCCCTTCTGTGGCACAGGGGCAATTCTTGGAGTGCTGAGCAGCCTAAAAATTCAGGAATTTTCTCCTCTTCCATTTCCACGCAGCAGCATTTTCCCATTTTTGGTACATTTTATGCAATTCGGGACTTCTCTGTACTCCCTGACAGCATTTTGAAACTCCAGATGTTGGAAGTGAGAAACCAAACCAACACAAGACGTCGTTCCCTTGAATTTCTCAACCCCAATTTTAATTCTTTTGCTTTCTCTTCATTTTGTTTTGCAGGTATTCCTTTGGTAAGTGACTAAAAATGAGCCAAAAGCTGCAGTAATATTTTGTTGATGCATTTGTGGGTATGTAGCTTTTCCATTTTTCCAGCTTTTTTGCTTTTCCTCTGGCATGTTTAAATTTTTTCTTTTTTCTCTTCTGCTGGCATATTTAAATTTTGATTTTTTTTTTTAATTTAAGTGTATTTTTATTAAGTTTTTTATTAAGCTTTTGATTACATTTCACTGCATTTCTTTCTGCCTTAAAGAAAGGAAATTCTGTAAATTGAGGCTGAGGAGAGTTGGTGGAAGGGTTGTGTTTGAGAGGAAGGGAATGAAGGACATTCCTGGGAGGGAATCTCCTCCCAAATTCCCTTTCCACAGGTGATTTGGATATCAGGAACTTCTTTATTCCTATCATGGCCTTTTCCCTGGGATGAGCTGCAGGTGTTGCTCTCTTGGAAGTTGGATTTTTTTTGCAGTTTTCCAACCCATTGTTAAATGGAAGATTAGAAATCCTGCTGGAAGCATTCCTCTCTCTGGAAATATTTGGAAAACTGCTGCTTTTCTGGGAATTGCTGCCATGGAATAACACCTTAAATCAGCCTCTTTGGCTGTGTTTTCTCCCTTCAGGAATGCCATGGGATGGGTGGGTGGAGAAGGACTCTGGATCATGGCTGGAAATGGGATTTGTGTTCCCAACTTGTCCCAGATGGAATCTGGTCACTCAGAAAGAATGGTCCAATCCCATTTGTGTGTTCCAGGGAGGTTTGCTCCCTTTTCCTTCTGGGAATTGCGGCTGTCTCCTCGTTCCCAATGGAATGTTCTGGAATTCAAGTTGCTCCTTGAACTGTCTGAGGGATTCTGGGAATGCTGAGGTGGAGACCAGAACGTGGAGAACTCTCCATTCTGCTCCATGAAGCATTCCAGATAATTCTTCCCTGTTAAACGTGGATATTTAATCCAGGACAACACAAACCCAGAGGATTGGCCTGGAGCTGCTCATCCTCTGGGTGTGTTGCTGATGGGTGTAGAAAAATGGTTTGTTTTTGTTGGTTTTCAGGCAGTGTTTAGTATTTTTTTGTGTCCCAAGTGGAGATCCCCCTCCAAGGAGCCCTTTGTACGCAGTGGGGTCTCTCCCTTCCCCGTTTTTGGCGTGAGGGCTCCTTCGGAATGAGATGAAGGAGATGTAAATCTGCAGTTCCTTTTGTCAGAATACAGGAAAACCACAATATTTTTGTTATAATATAGCTGAAACAACAACGTTGTCATCCATTGCTGGGGCAGTACATTAAATATTGCTGAGCTCTGGAAGCCTCATTCTTTGGGAGCATCTACTTCAAAGCAAGATCCTAAAAAAAAAAAAAAAGAAATTCCTGGAGAGTTCTTTGTAAGTGCTGACTGTTTCCTATCCCCCTCCAGGAAGTGTGGAGGTTTTTTTTTTTCCTACATCTCAGGATGGATTTTGGTAGCCTCTGTTCAATCTCCAGGCTGTCCCTGTGAATTTTAAAGAACTCCAGAACCTGGAAGTAACAACAAGCTGTGGGATCGATTGGTATTGCCACAGGTTTTGCTCTTTGCTCTTAGTCCTGGTGGGGAAAAGTGATTAAAAACCATCCTCACTGGAGGGAAGGAGCTGGGAACCAGGAATGCAGAGCTCCAGGCTAGGCTGTTCATCCCTGGAGGCTGAGGAGCTGCTCTGGCATGCAGATCCTGGAGTGGGCATCAGCCAGGCCTGGAATCAGCTGAGCTGGGATCACTTTAGGCTTGGTTTATTCGTGCTCTGATGTAAACCTGGCTTTGGAGCCAGCAGGGTGCCCTCAGTGAGGGGTGGAGGAGGTGGCACCTGGGTCCCTCCTGTGGATGGACACAGATCCAGATCCACTTTTCCTCCTTATTTTTGGAAAGGCACAGTTGTGGTGAGGCTGTTCCTGGCTGGGTTTTTGGGATGGATGGGCTGGATTTTTGGGATGGATGGGCTGGATTTTTGGGATGGCTGGATGGATGGATGGATGGATGTGCTGCCTGCCCTCCCTGGAGCACAGCTGCAGGACCAGGCTGCTCCTCCAGAGCTTTCCTGGCTTCTCCATCCTCAGCCTAAATCTCCTCCTGGAGTTTTGCTGTTCCAAGGCCTTTCCCTCGTGTTCTCCCTGGTGGAACCCCTGTCCTGGTGGCCTGGCCTGGCTCAGCTCTGCCTCCCTCTCCAGGTTCCCCCTGTGCTGCTGGGATTAGAAAGAGCCCCCAAGGCAAATTTCTGCTTTATCCTTCCTGAAAATTCAGGAGCTGTGTCCTCCTGGCTTGGAATGAGACCAGAACTGCCTCGCCAGGTCTGTGGTGGTGCCACCTTTGCTGTTTCTGGCCCTGGGTCCTCTCCTAGAGCAGGAGGAAGCTTCAGCCTGAGATACCCCCAAGGACTCCTCCACGTGGGGATTTATTATCCCTGCACTAGCAGAGGCTTGGAAAAGGTGCTGCTCCTTTCCAGGATTTCTTTTTTTCCTCTCTTTTTCTGCTCTGCCTTCTGGTTTTAAGGAACCTCCAGATATTCAGAAGAAAGTTTGAGAGTCCTGAGTCTGTCTTGGTCAAAAAAAAGGTGGCACTGGGGAGTTAAAAGCAAGAAAACTGCAAGGATGGAATGAGTTGTGGTGGATCTGTGTAGAGAAAATCCAGGGAAAATGAGGTCACTGTCCAGAGAGATCCTGAATTATTCCAGTGGTTATAGGATGCCTGTTCCCAGCCAGGAAAGGCAGGAATGCACTGCTGCCCTCGTGGCTATCAATGGGATCATTAAACAGAAGGGATGGAGGAGCAGCTGATCCCATTTGACTCCTGATGCTCCAAAGTGTCCTGTTTGGAGCCAAAGCAAATGTTTCCTTAGGGATCATTCCAGAGAGCCTGGCTCCTGCACTCCTTGCAGGCCAGAATTAGAAGCACATTTTAAAAGCAAAAATAATTTTTTTTTCTTCCCCTCTCTCTCCCAGTAAACTTCCTTGTTAATTTCGGTGTGGAGAAAAGACAATCCCTGAACAAACTCTGGAGGTTTTTGCCATTATCTGTAAACATGGAATGAGCAAATAAGTGAGTTCCTACCCAAAATGCTGCCCAATTTGATATTGCATCTATTAGCTCAGATTTTGAGCTGAAGTGTGTTTTGATTAGAAGTAGAATAAAAAGTTGAGAGCCGAGTATTTCTAATTCTCCATCACTTGTTAAATCCTCACTCTTTGCTTCAATGCAAATTGTTCCAAGGAGGATTTTCTTTTAAAAGGTCTTCAGGGATCTCGAATTTTAGATGTGCATTGACATAAAATTAAATGTTCGAGTGCACAGCTGGGGTTCTGGGTGAGATGGAGGAGATGTTTCTGCTCTGTGAGTGTTCCCAGGGAAGGGGGGAAGTTTTCCTGTGGCTGCACCAGCCTGGAGAGCTGTGGTCGTGGAGGAAAATGAAAGGAAAATGAAACAATTGAGGTCAAACTTCACGGGTGCAGGTCCAAAGCTTGGCTTAAGGTGGGGATGGGCTGAGCTGTGCTCAGAGCTGAGCTGGAGATTGCTGCAGACCCCTCTGCAGCGGTGGAGGCAGCCCAGGAGAATTCCCTGGCAGAGAAACTGTGGCTGCTCCATCCCTGGGAGAGTCCAAGCCAGGCTGGAGCAGACCTGGGATAGTGGGAAACTGCCCATGGCAGGGGGTACGGCTGGACCAGCCTAAAGCTCCCTAAAGCCAGGTCCAGGGTGGGATTCTGTGAGTTCCACGTGGCAGCACAGAGTCCCCAAGCTCTGCTGGTGTGGGGAGACCCTGGAGCAGGATGTGGGGTTGGGCTGCTCCATGTTATTCCCAGAGAGCTCTGCTCCATTCCCAGCAGGACACCCTGGATCCCAGAGCCCCTGGCAATGGCTGGGCACCCAGCTGCCCACGGGCTGCTCTTTATTCACCCCCCACACCAGGATGGGAGGGCTGGAGCTGCTTCCCAACCATTCCTGCCTAATATTGGGATCTGCTGTTCCTATTGCTGCTGTTAAGAGTGGGAAACTTTTCTCTCTGTCTTATTAAATCTATTTTTCAAGCTGTCACTTAAGCAGGTCTAGTGACAGAGTCGGATGTTTATGTGGCCCTGGACACTTGAACTCTGGTGTTTTCAATCACAACAGCACCTTTTGCCAGCCGGTCTGAATTAAAAACTCCCCCTGACCTTTTACCCCCAGCCCTCTTAAATTCATGCTTTAAAAACAGCTTAATGAGGGGTTTACTGGCCCAATTGGAAGTTTTTATTAAAACCTATTAGTGAGCTGGAGTAGCCTGCCTGAAGGAAACGATTAGGCCAGAGCAGCTCAGCTCAGAGCTGGCCCTTAGCCACTCCAGGTTTTCCCTAAACTGCTTCCAGACCCACGTTAACCCCAGTGCTGCAGCCTGCACGGAATTCATATCCTCTGCTTTAATTTATGCCTTGTCTCATTCCCTGCCCAGCCTCGCCCCTGCTTGGGTTTAATGTTGTTAGGCCTGCATTAAAGGGCAGCAGGGCCTTGGCTTGTTTGGGACCCCGGTGGCTGTTATCTGCTGTCAGGAGAGCATGAGCTTGTGTCTGGGAACACTGAGTAAGGAGGCCAGAAGCCACACTACCTCTCTTTGGTTCTCATTTCTTCCCAGGACATTCCCTGTTTGGCACGGAGAGCTGCTGCCCGTTCCCTTGTGTGCTAACCAGCAGCAAAGGCGGCTCTTCCCAACAGAACTGGAAACAAGGTTTTGGTTCAGGGCCTGTAAAGTGGGGCTGAGGAATATTTCCAGGGGAAAAAGTAAAGATGTCAGCCTCAGAGTGAGGAAAACATTATTACTTCCCCCTGTGTAGGGGAAGAGTTCCCCCAAATCTTCTGCTGCCCCAGGGAGGAGGTGTGGAGCCTGCTTGGGCAAAGCCACCATGCTCCCGTGCTCCTGGAGAAGCTTTCCATGAGGAACATCCCAGCACAGTGAACCTGGAGATGCACTGGGGGAGCAGCCAGGGTTTGAGGTGAAATTGGGTTTTTTGGGGGACACAGGAGCT